AATTTCCATATTCCCCTGACTTTTAATGGTGAGAGACCGACCTGATCTCAGGCGACCCTTCAGAAAATCCGAGATATACATTTATACAAGTTGTGAGACCTCTCGATCATACTATAAGATCCTGTAAGTTTCATCTCCCTATGAAAGCTCTGCACTGAGGGTGTTGCGAAATTGGAACATTTTAGGACTGTGCACACAGTTCTAAAATGTTAATTTTATTAAACAGTTTAGGACAGTTTCACACAGTTCATTTTGGGACTGCTCATTTATGACGTCATAGATCAGTGACCTGACTTGACTTAACCCTATTAGTGGCAGGTTGTTTTCATCTACCCCTCAGGTTTTTCGGGAATATCTCCGAAACCGCTGAATCTACGATGCTGAAATTTTCTGACTTTTCCTAAAACTAAATTGGGCACATTCGCTGAAAATTTCAAGGTCATAACTTTACCAGGGGCGGCTCCAGAGCACTGGGAATTGGGGGGTCTTATTCGTGAAGCGAGTCATTTGGGCGAAGATCACGATGCTGATGTATTATAACTGTATGCACCAGTTTTACGAACAGTGAATGAAAGGTATCATGTGATAACATATACAAAGTTATTGTGCATCCTCTTTTGACACGTTTTTGCTATAATAGGCGGATCCAGGCGTCCAAAAAGGGGGGTTCTGTTTTACCTCCCAACATAGGTGCCCTGACACCGCCTATGCATGACCAATACAATTGTAGTCGTTCTCTCATAAGAAAATTGTAACATAACAAGACCATTACCACCCTTTTTAGAAACAGTACCAACAAAAACCTTATTTACTATACTTTTTTTGTATCCCCAATCTCAATGATCTGTATCCGCCTATGATTTTGAAAATGCATATTTTTAGGATCCATGTGAATTCCTGGTTCATTCTCTATCGATCGGCAAAAGTTGTGTTAAGATTGGTTCAGAAACCTGGCCGTGATAAACAGTCTAAAATGTATCTGCAATTTGCCCGTTTTTACCCCCCTCTATTGACATTTTTTAATTTTTATTTTTTTTAGAAATGTAGATCACGTTGAGCGAAATCGAATGCCGTTTGAATTTTGAAAATCGGCCCCTTAGATCTCGAGATATCAGGGGGGTCGTAAACAGCCCCCCTGCCACTAATAGGGTTAAAAATGCGGTTGGCGTAAAAAAATCCGACTTATCAAATCCCGACTAAAAAATCGACTTATAATCCGGTTAATCAAATTCCGACCATGTTTTTACCTGGCCATTAACCCGCGCCCTGATGGGGTCTGCCGAGCAACGCGGTCTGATGGGGGGGGGGGCATTTTGCCCCCCCCCCCTAAGATCTCGAGAACCACGCAACATAGCGACAAGCGATAAACGGCGTTGGATAGCCCCAACGGGGAACTACCTTGTGACACAATTTCATTGACCTCGGTCAAACCGATGACGTCACAGGTCAGGTCAAAGGTCGAATTTTCACCGTTCACAGGCATTTCAAGAAATGCGTTGTAAAATCGAGTAAAATGCATTTCATTGAAAATCATCGATGGGGAAATGTTCTTCAAACACATATTTTGCTATTTGAGGTCACTGATACCAGGTCAGGTCACAGAGGTCAGGTCACTGGGGGGGGGGGGGGGGTCACAATATGAAGTGTCGTGTGATACATGTTTTATGGTCCATTTTACATGACAAATGCGATTATGTGGGTCAGGCAGACTTTTGGGCCAGCTTGGGTCACGTTTTGGTCAAGGTCAGGTCAAGGTCAGGTCAAATTAGGTCAAATTTCAAAGTTCATACTTTGCATAAAATGGGTATCGATATCGATGCAGCTCGTCACGGGGAGTTCAATGGTGGTCTCCGTTTTGCGCTACAAGGTCTAGAATTGCTAAAAATTGAGTTAAAAAATTTGACGTCATCAATTTTTAACAGTTTTTTTTTTGCTATAACTTGGCCAAAAAAGAGGTATCGATCTAAAATTTGGTATGTATATCGAATAGCGCAGGGACTATCACATATATTCCGGTTTTTTTCGAAATTCGAAAATTTTTGGATTTATTTTTTAGTTTTTCTAAAAAAATCAATTTTTTATTTTGGGGGGCCAAAATCCCAAAATTTCGAAAATCTGAGATAGCAGTTTTGTAGCGCCGTTTTTTTATCTATACAACCACATAAAGAACTTTAAAATTGCTTGTTAACTGTAGAATTGGTGAGCGTTTCAAGATGTCATGTTTTTTGCTCATTTTTACTCGAACATGACCTCAGTTTGACCTCAATAACTCCTGACCTGAGGTGACCCGTGACTTGAGATTTTGTGTGAAGGTGTCAACTTGATGCCCGGTAAGGTACGCAAAATTTGGCGGCGCGCAGCGCCGCCGTTTTCTCGCTATTTAAGAAAAAACACAGGGGGGGCCAAAATGCCCCCCATCAGGGCGCGGGTTAATGTGTTCTAGCCTTACAGTTGATTGTTTGAACGCGGAAGATGCTATCTTGGTTAACCCCATACTTATCGTATGATAAAGAACGTCAGTGTTAGAAAGTTAATTAACAATTTTATTTAGGATAGTTTAATTCAAGTGGGTATAATCCGACTTGACAATTTACTAGGAGGGTTTTGCAGCGCTATTAGTTCGGCATGTAATTATAAATCATTGCTAATTTTGATCCGGATATCGTTATTCAATGCTGGCCTTTGCGTCCTCAGAAAAGTTGTTTATAGTCATGAAGGCTTGCATTGACCCATACTCCATTTTTCAGCACCATTATTCGCCGTAGTTGACCAGGTGTTTTTCTTCAGCTCTCCCCTGAATCCTTTGGCTTAGACCTGGCGTATCACCCGTGCATCGCAAGACGCACCTACCACACACAAGTTCATGATCCCCACGAACTAGAGGTGTCAATCGGAACCGAAAATTTTGGAATTCCGAAAATTTCCGAATTCCGATTCGGAAATCGGACGGAAAAGTGACAAACACATCGGACATATTCGGAAAACTAGTTGAAAGTTACAAATTTCTTGAAGAAGTTAAAATTCAAACTTATTTCAATTATCCATATGCAAATTGCAAAACATGTCATCAAAATTGGCAGGGGATAGGTGCATCATACATCATTCATAATTATAGTGCAAGATGAAAATAAACGTGATTGCATGTAGCGGGTAGCTCTGAGTCAAATCAGGTACATACCTACCTACCTATAGGTACTGTGCCAACTTTTAACTCTAAATTTGGAAATGTGTTTACAAATGGCAATAGCCATTGTTGTCAGCAAGCCCATCATTAGATAACACAGTTATGAACATGATGTACAATCATTGACCTGTGAGAAGCACTAGACACCAAAGCAGTAAAGGAGGGAATCCAAAAATAGATTTGCCTCACTTGATGTTAACAGAAAAGAGACAGAAGAAAATTGAAAATATCAAGGTGTGTCAAGTAGCACAAGAGTCCTACCTAGAACCTCCTATCATAAAGTCATCCTTTTCTACCCCTTCCCTCCAAAAATATCCTTGCCGAAAAATCAATGTTGCATAAATGCCGATAGCCTATCAATAAACTAAACAATTACCAAAAGATGATGAAATGCGGCGAAAGCGTCATAAATGTCACCTAAGGAAAGATGGCCTCCCGATGAGAATCGGAGGAGACAAAAAGTGACGTCTAAAACAATAAATACAGTCATTTTGCTTTACAATTGAATTATTTTTGACAATTTATCATATTTTGCAATACTAATTGAATTTAAATCAAACAACTAATGGTAAGTGCACTTCAATAGGACAAGTTATATGACAATGACGTCATATTGTTGATTTTCTTTCACCTCATCGACTCAAAGCCGGATACCCATGTTCCATGCTACCAAGAATGGTAGCATGAAACGTGTTTTTCATTCTACCAATGATCACAACCTCTTTTTGCTTGTGAATTTCAGTGAATTTGTGTAAAATCATAGCAAGTATTTTTGTGATCGCTTATTCTTTTGGATATTCAGAGATGTGTGGCTCAGTGAAGAGCACGTTATTTCCAGATGTACCTATCTCACACGTTTCTTCTCACATGAACTATTTTGCTTTTGCAAGAAGTGTTCTACTTTACATCTCAATCCAAGTCTCAGTCTCAGCCAGTGTGATATAAGATCAAGATATGCACAATTATTGTAAGTGACTAGCTTCTTGCATTATTGCTGTATTAATTCATCATCAAGTGGCTTACTGTCAAAGGGATGTGGCAAGAAGTCAATATTTGAGAACGCAGGTTGGAGGGATAAGGCAATGCTTTGCATTATTCCTGCTTACTCAGCTTCAGTTGTAGGCTGTAGCACATTTTAAAGCAGAATAGGCTTGTCTCAATATGCTGTGTTTGTGTTATAGGTATATCAGGTTAGGCCTATTGCCCAAATGCCCACCCCCATTCCATACTGCATAATATGATATTGCTTCAATATTTTTGGTGCACTCAAAACCAGATGGCAACTATCTGTTATTTAGTTATCATGTAGTACCTACATACAAACATATACCTAATATAGATCAATTTACGCATACTCCCTTTCCATATCCAGCTTTCGGACAGTTTTCGGACAAATCCTTGCTTTGGACATTTTTCGGACAGAAGTGAGCTAGGATTTTGGACATTGGACGGACATCGGACAAGAAATTTCTGAAATTGACACCTCTACCACGAACCCACATCAGCGTCCGTTCGCTTGGTGTGTGACCCCTTGACCTTTGGCCGCGACAACTGCCAGCTTGCTGGAACACCCCTCCCTACACGCGCTGCCCCGCCCGCTCCCCTTTCTCCCCCCCCCCCCCCCCGGGGTCGTGTCACGAAGGTTCGGGCTTACGCTACTACCGGCCGCTGCGCAGCTGTCACCTAGCGCTTGGGAATGTGTGGTCTGGTGCGGATTCAGCCAACTACCGGCTCGCGACACCAGCGCCACGTAGTGGCGACGGTACATTCTTTTTAGACATACTGTACAGACCTCTCGCTAAAACGGACTACTTACCAGTGTAGAACAAGCATATGCTTCGTTTTTCGCGATGGTTTTTCGCTGCCTCCCACACAAGCACCAGCAGAAGAGGGAACTTGTCGATTATGTAGTCGACCAGTCCACTCCGGGTGTCGCCCACCATGCGTCGTCCTTCTTCAGGTACCTCATCGAAGTGGTGGAGCTGCACAAAAAAAGATGCAACGCTGCTGATTTGTGTGTTATACGAACGTAACCATCTACAGTATAGTAAAACGCCCAAACTTAACCCGCGCATGACTGTGGGGGGGGGGGGGGCTCTACAGAGCCCCCTCCAGTTTTTCGGCAATATCTTCTAAGTTCTAAACCGTTTGACGGATTAACACGAAACTTGAGGACCCTCAGCGACATCAATTTGACACCTTGTGCTTAAATTTCAACTTTCTAGCTACCATAGTTTGACCGGAAATGACGTCAGAGTGACGTCATGTCGGCCGATTTTGATGCAAAATATTGAATTACGGCAAACACTCTCAAGAGCTCAGTTTTAAAGCTAGATCCAATTTATTTGCATGAGTGGACTACAAATACATGTAGCTATCAAACTGTTATCTCGAATTTTCGAAAATTTAAAACTTTTGAAAAATATGTATTAACAATTAAAAAAAAAACTTTTGATTTTTTTTCAAAAAGCTTTTGATTTTACGCAAAAACCGGAATATATTTGATAGAACACACACTGATAAACTACTCTAGCAAGTTTTAGCCCTATATCTTCAAAATGACCAAATTATTTGCATTATTGTCAAATATTTGCAATTCTATATTTTTGAAAACCATTTTTCAGTACGTTTTGACATCGTACATCAATATGAATGACACCATCGTGTTTCTGAGCTCAAACTGCATCTGATAGGCACCTTTTTTGTTCAAAAATTTCTTTTTTCAAAATTTGACCTTTTCTGACCTGAAGGTGACCTGACATCCGTTTAAATTCAGCTGAAAATGACCTCAAATGACACAGACGACATTGTTTTCGAAATATACGAGGAAAATGGACCATAAAACATGAGTCACGTGACTGATACATGATATACAATTTACGTGACCTAGGATGACCTGGCCTTGACATGAAAAATTCAAAGTAAAAGTTCGGTACCCTCAGGGTATCTAAAGCATATATCAAGGAGTGAGAAAACAAAAATGAGCCTGATCGGACTTGTCAGCCGGCGGTCAGAGCCTAAATTGTGAACAAGCAAAAATGCGGATAATTTTACTTTGACCTGGCCTGTGACGTCATCAGTGACCTCGAGGTCGATGAAAATACTTTCGCTCGACAGTTTTTCCAGGGCCATCAGACGCCGTTTGAATTTTGACGATCGGCCCAGTAGTTTCGGAGATAGGAGGGGGGGGCTGGAGAGCCTCCCCCAGTCACTCGCGTTATGGAAAATACCCCAGTCAAGCGCGGGTTAACCCTCGCCCTGGCAGGGTATTTTTCACAACACGGCCTGGCAGGGGGGTGGGGTCGATGCGACACCCCCCCCCCCCTCGCGATTGTCTCCTATGGCACCTAGAAACACCCAATTTTGTAGGTAGGTGAACCCCCTGGAGTTCTCGCCCCTGTGCAAATTTGGTTGCTCTAAGTCAATATTTAGGGGGGTTTTGGGGGTATAAATGTAAAAATTTCGCTAAAAGCAGGTCAAAAGTTTTTCGCTTATAACTTTTGATCTAATTAAGGGTGCGTTAACTTCGGAGGTGGCTCCGCTCAGCGTTGGTGTCCGAGCACTACTACTCTGATTCTCAGCCAGTAGATGTCACCAGGGTAGAGCGCTTTTTTCCCACGTTAATGACCTTCTCCCCCTCCTCATTTCACGGCCCTTACGATAACGACGTTTGGTTACTGCGCCGGCGCGGCGGGCGGCGCCGACTGAGGGAGATCATGGTGTGTAAACACCGCGCGGAAGGAACACGTCTCTCGACAGGCCTTCCCGGCGCCGTCCTTAGCCTGGTGTAGGTACGTCCTACCCAGTTAGAACGAAACTGATTATTTGATATGGATACATGTTATCGAATATTGAGTCTGCCGCAGCTCTAGTCACAAGAATGCGTCTGATATCCTCACATGATTGACCTGACGGCATTGTTTTAGTGAAATGCAGTGCTAGATTCACATTGCTACACATACTACCAGTAAAACGCCTTATAGGACGACAAACGGAGCGAGCGAGAGGGTGGGCCTTGCACGTGGGAAATTGTGAGGGGGTACCTCCAACTGACTTGTGCACGGTACTCTACTAACCGGTCTCTAGCAATGTGCCATATTTGAGCGCAATCGACTCAGCCGTTCTCGAGATCTAGAAGCGGCACCCTGCACGTGCGCACGTGCAAAATGGGTCCCAACTGACTTTTGCACGGCACCCTACTAACGGATCCCTAACCGCTAACCAAATCTGAGCGCAATCGGTCCAGCCGTTCTCGAGATCTGGAATCGACCGCTGCACGTCCGCACGTGCAGCAGCACCCCACATGAACTGTGGGACATGAAAATGCATTGCCTATGTGGGTGCCTACTGCTTACCTACATGCAAAGTTTCAGCCAATCGGCCCAGTAACTACCGAGATATTGCAATTGTTACAAAAATGACTCCTCTTCGTTTTGCACGTGGCACGTGCATAGGGGGTCACCCACATGCATCGAAAGAAGTCAAATACTTGGTAGATGGAATCAAGCTACCCTACAAAAATTACCGCAAGTAAATCGGCCCAGCGGTTGCTGAGTTTTTTTTTTTAGCCTTTCAAAAGCGTTACAGCCCGGGCCGGGTCGGGCCGGGCCGCTCTTACTGAGATTTATCCGTTATATTGAAAAGACTTCACTTGCTTCGCTCGCTCCGTAACAACAACGGGAAGTTCAGCATCTATTTTCTCATTTGAAGCTAGGCCCCATGCGCACAATCTTATCTTAATGGAGCAGACTATGAGCTGGAAGATTCGTATTCCATTTTTCATCTATTTCTCATTTGAAAGGATGTCGTTTGAAGCTAAGCCCCATGCGCATAACTTTATTATATCAAGTAGACTCTGGACTGGATAGGTAGGTACAAACTACAAACATTACAAAATATCAATTTTACCTATAGGTACACGAGGCATTGGTAGGCTTGCTTGCTTTTATAGCAAGCTGCATTTTATGGACTGCAACCATGTAATATGTTCCTTGGGAACTTCACAGAAATATCTATACCTACTTACTATCCACCTTTTTCAAACGGCTGCTATACTTATGGAAGGGATGATAATTTAACTTGCTTCTCCAGTGCCACTGCCAGTGCTCTACCTCCTCCCCCTCCCCTCCCCTCCCCAACAAAAGTAGAAGTCTTGTTGCTTACGTACGACGCTACCAGCAACCTAGCCGAAAACTTGATGTCGCAGGTGGCAAAAACCCTCGGCGGTAAACGGGTAAACCACTACCAGAAACGTGGGTAGGTACAGGGACCCGCAGTTGCTACTGTATAGCGACCCTGAGTAAATTGTCCCAGCACCCTCACAGGGAACAACGATAAGCTGTCAGAGGGTACTCACAGGAAACCTCAGCTGCTCTTGTACAGGGACCAGCAGTCGATATCAATGTTATCGGTTGTTACTGGACAGGACAGACGGTTAGACTTGGGGTTCGTGTACAGTAGCAACTGCGGGTCCCCGTACCATGACCGCTGTGCCGCAGCAGCTTTAGCCTTCCAGTCCGGCAGCCAGATGCACATCGATGTTTTCAAACAAAAATATCAAAAAAGTCCAACAAAGATCATGAAAAAATGTCAATGTCGCTCAAAAGAAACGTCTCCAACGTCCCAACGATCCGGCCAAAAGGGTTAGCAGATACGTCCGGCGTTCTCTCGCGGGGACAGATGGGGACTATGGACCCGGCTGTGCTGCACCCGACTTAGAGGACCGCGATATTCAGCAATATCAGCTCAAAACAAAGGAGTTCTTAGACAGCCGAAGCACTGCTGTGGAGCGTGCCCAAATCGCTGAGAACACTGCTGATGACAAGGAAGAGTGGCACCGCGAGCGACGCAAACGCGTCGCTGCGACAACCTTTCACCAAACAGCGAATATGCGAGACTCAACGTCAAACAAAAACATCATGAACAGACTTCTTTACGATACAACAAAAGATTTAGATACACCTGCTCTGCAGTATGGCCGCGTCAACGAGGAGCTAGCTATACAAGCATATGAAAAGCAAACAAACACTGAAGTGAAAAGACCAGTTGGGCTGGTAGTGCACCCGAAGCATCCATTTTTGGCCGCCACTCCTGATGGAATCGTTTCTGATGACATCACATCATAGTAGAAGTGAAATGTCCCAAAAGTGCAGAGAACACTTCACTGGAAAGACTGCAGCTGCGTCTTCTAGTGGACTAACTATAACTAACTAACTATAGTTTTTTTTTCTTGACGACAAACTTGAGCTAAAAAAGAGTCACCAATATTACACCCAAGTTCAGTGCCAGTTGGCTTGCACTGGTGCAAAGTTCTGTGACTTTTTTGTCTGGACAGCAAACGAAACGTCATGTCAGCCCATAGCTGCTGACGAAACGTTCATCGCAAACAGACTGGAAAAAGTGAAGGCATTTTATGATGAGTGCATCGTGCCTGAAATGATAGATCCCCGCAAAGCACGACACATGCCGTTCCGTGAGCGGTCAAGGTATAGGGAGCCCAAGGGCAAAGACGTGAAGAAAAAAAAACATACAGGATGAGGCGACTAGCCCTGCCACACATCTAACAAGCGGAAACTTTTTTTGTCACTCATCCCATCATGGCAAAACGGGTAAAAAGGGGAGCGACTCACAACAGTGAATGAGACTTTGATGTAACATATCATTGGCTCAGATGTCCACCACGCATCAGCTAAGGTAATTTCAGCAATCGTGTCAAAACTGAAGCATTCGCTCAGCATCATGCCGATCTCATTTTGTGCTCCTTGTTCTGTGTCAGTTTCGTGTCATGTACGAATGCAATATGTCAATGCATGCCATGGATGCAATATTATGTACCGGTTATACTGGTATGTTTTCATTGGCTTCGCCTCTGCACTGTGTCAGCAGAGCAGACGCCATACTGGGGATTTATGTGTGATGCATCGCTGATGTGCAACTACTGATGCACTGGAGGTGAGCTATGGATAGTTTGAGCATAATTATG